TTCAGAAGGTGCCTGAATTCCTAGCTTAAGTCCTAATTGCAAAGGAAAATTCCGAATAGAAAAACAATTCCGAGAGTCCGTGGGGGCTCGACATCGGTTGAGATTTGAAAAGAAAACGACATTCCCGCGCGCTGATCGCGCCAAAATTTTCAGTGCTCCCTGCATAACAAGAAAGAAGCTATGGTACAATTATTTCTCGCGCTCGCTAAGGTGCGGTTACTGCTCCCAGCATAACAAGAAAGAAGCTATGGTACAATTATTTTTCGCGCTCGCTCATCCGTTCGCACGGGATGTTCCCGACACTGATCCGACAACTTCCAGCAGGAAAAAAAAAAAAAAAAACGAGGGCATCCTTGCAATTTGCCCGTCCAGCCTGTCTTCCCACAACTCACCCCCTTCGACCCATCGAATTTCCCAAGCAGCTTCAGGCAGAAAGTCGCGCGATTACAGAAAATAGTTCGTCACAATTTTTGGAACCCGCCCACCTTGGGCCTTCCCTCATGCGAAATGGGTAAGATGTATAACCAAACCAAAAGCAAAAAGAAAAGGAAAATTTGTCTAGCAGCCCTGTAATTTCATCACTTGATCGTTGGGGCTCGACATCAGTTGAAATTTGAAAAGAAAACGACATTCCCACGCGCTGATCGTGCCAAAATTCCCAGTGCTCCCAGCATAACAAGAAAGAAGCTATAGTACAGTTATTTCTCGCGCTCGCTAAGGTGTGGTTACCCATCCGTTGGCATGGGATGTTCCCGACACCGATCCGACAACTTCCAGCAGGAAACAAAAAAAAGAAACGAGGGCATCCTTGCAATTTGCCCGACCAGCCCGTCTTCCCACAACTCACCCCCTTCGACCCGTCGAATTTTCCAAGCAGCTTCGCGCAGAAAGTTGCGCGATTACAGAAATAGTTCGTCAGAAATTTCGGAACCCGCCCGCTTTGGGCCTTCCCTCATGCGAAATGGGTAAGACGTATAACCAAACCAAAAGCAAAAAGAAAAGGAAAATTTGTCTACCGCCCCTGTAATTTCCATTATTTCGCGTCACGCCCCTCCGATGGCCCACTTACCCTGTTGTGCCCCTCCGACTGAAATAGTTTTGTTATGCCCCTACCAGTACCCATTCCAAAATTGCGGTATGCCCCTCTGGATAGCCATTTAGTACCGGCACAAAAAAATTCCATATGCCCTATTGGTAGGGTGCATGTTTTCAGCGCACCTCTATGGCTACGCACATGGCGGCCACTTCATTTCTCTCTCCCTCTTTCTCTCTCTCTCGCACACACACACACACACACACACACACACACACACACACACAAGCACACGCGCACACACACGCGCACACACATGCACACGCGCACACACATGCACACGCGCACACACACGCGCACACACACATGCACGCGCGCATGACCACCACTTCATCTCTCTCTCTCTCTCTCTCTCTCTCTTTCTCTCCCCCACAGACACACACACACACATGCACACACACACGTGCGCACATGCATGACGGCTACTTCATCTCTCTCTCTCTCTCTCTCTCACACACACACACACACACACACACACACACACACACACCACAAAAACCACGTGCTTCAAATCCGAATTTGTGGCACGAGGGCATGATCGAAAGAAGCATGCCGCTCACGAGGGCATATCGCACAGGAAAAGACTGGCCGTCCAGTAAGGGCACACCGGGGCTGACAGGGGCATGAAGTGGGGCGTCGGAGGGGCGCGACGCAAAATAATGCAAATTACAGGGGTGCCAGCCAAATTTCCCCCTCCCCCCCCAAAAAAAAGGGTACTGTCTCAGTCATTTTTTCATTGTTTTCGTCGATCTATTCTGACCAAGTCGCAGTCAGGCTTGCAACCGCATAGCATGCGGGGAGACGCCGCAACTGCGAATTTCAACCAAGAAACATCACCTGGCGGTAAAGTTGTTGTGAGCGCTAAGCACCTGTAGAGCGCAGACTGTGGTCCTTGTTCCATCACTCGCCATTCGCCAAAATTTTGAACGAATCTGAACACGAGATTTCCCCTTCTGCGCTGAAAATGTCGGCGGCTGGCGAGTGGAGCATCCACACTACTGCGGTGGAGGCGCCTACCGCGAGTGCCCGCCGATCAAAAGCGAGCGCGGCGGGATGCAAATGCAAAGATTGACTGCGCAAAAAAGAAAAGAAAAAAAGATTGACTGCCGCCGGTCGACAGGGCGGGAGTGCAGGGGGTGCAACGAAAATAGTTGGTTCGTTTCTCAACTTGTGTCGTTTTCCCCGCGCACCGAGGGCGAGATCCCAGTGGAAATGGAAAAGAGGATTGGAAGAAGTGTCCGAATCTGGAAGTGTTCCACACAGATATGCAGAAAAGCATATCAATCACAGGTTTTTGCACCTCTCCACAAACACGTCAAGATTCACACACTTTTATTCCAATCTTCTTTGCCAGTGGGGTTTGGCCCTGAGCGCGCAAACCGCGGTAAGGAGTGGCGGTGGGCTGCCGCCGCAACGCCCCGCTTGCGGCGGGGCGATCTGCCGGCTGCTTAGCGCGGGCGTGCGCGACGTACGTAATAAGCCGTGTTAATTCCGATTGCCACGTGGGCAGGGACTGTCGGGCCCACCACCATCGCGGCGGCACATGTCGTCCCCTTTTCCCCCTTTTCCCCGTTTTCCCCGTTTTCCCATTTACCGCCCCCGTACCCGCCCCGACTCGCCGCGCCCTTGCCGATGAGGACGGTGACGGTGACTGCGCTTCTCGCCCCCACTCCCCCTCTCCCTCCGCCTCCCCCTCCCCCTCCCACTCCCGCCCTCCCTGTGGGGTGTCGAGAGCCGATCAGTACTTATACGGAGTCGGGCGACACGAATAACTTTCCCGTCTGGCGATTTCGGGAAAGCGGGAAATTGTGTTGTGTAATAGGCCGGCCATGCTGAGTTGGCGCAGGCGAGCGGGCGGATGCGTGCGCGCGCGTGCACGCGATTGCTGGGGGCTCTCGTTTCGCCCTCCCTGTCAAGTACCATTCGTTCGTGTAGTCTTCTAAGGGAGGTGTGTGGAGGAGGAGATGGCTCCCGTCATGAGGGGGCAATCTGCTGTCTCACGACATCGCTTGGCTGTTGTGGGACCAAGTGCTGCTCCCGTTCTTTTCAGCCGAGGCTTGTGGACTGCTCTGTAGGCTGGCTGCGTGCCGGGTCTGCTCTTCCCCCTCCTCCTGGACATCCCCGTCCTTCCTCGACATCACATCCTCTTGTGTCTTTCCAAACTCGTGTCGTCTGTCATCCATCCATTGCGCGCCATATCCTGCGCTTGGTAGGCACGCCGCGGCGCTCACATTCTACGTGCTTGTCAGTGGGAGGAGGTGGAGATCGATTCTGAGTGCGCTTCTACAGCCCTTGCCCTTGTCTTCCTGCTTCCTTTGCCCGTCTCTTCTCTCTCTCTCTCTCTCTCTCTCTCTCTCTCTCTCTCTCTCTCTCTCCCCCCCGTGTTTCTTTATGTCTGGAGGATGCCTATGCGAAGGGTGGGTAAGTGGCACGTGGCAGCGGTTGAGGAACGCAGGAAAGTGACCGGCGCCTGGTGGTGATGTGATGGGAGTTGACAGCTTGGCGGCGCCGTCGTCAGGGCCGATCTATCGTGGACAATATAGCTGACCGGCGTTGGGAGTACCCTCCGACGTCAGGTTTTGATCTTCTCTCTCTGCTTCCGGGAAAAAGCGAGGGAGCGGCTGAACGGGTAAACGAGACGGAAGGAAACGATGGGAGGATGAGGGAGGGATCATGGAGGCGTTGTTTGTTAGTCGATCGCCCTCAGTTGATGGGTTTTGATGATGGATGGAGTGGTTTTCTTCTCCTCCTTCCTCTACTGAGCTCTTCGTCTTCCTGATTCGGCTTGAGGGCTAATGGGTCCATCTGACATGCAGATTGCCGGAGGCAGACATCACGCGGGTGGGGGAGTTGGTCGATCGTTATCGTTATCGTTGATGAGTGTGAGGGGCGATGTTCAGCATTCTCTAGGCGGCTGAAGCAACGCCTTATTTGTGATTGTAAGGGCCGACATCACTTCACCGTACATTCGTGGGGGGAAGGGAGAGAGGGTGGGAGGGAGGTGGGGGACGGCTTAGCCGGGGGATAGAAGGGGAGAAAAGGAGGAGGAGGAGGGGAAGGGGGCAAGGACAGGGAGGGGGGGAAAGAGAAAGCGAGAGGCAGGGGGGCAGTTGCGTTGGAGATGTTGCAGATTTTTTTAAGGATGTGAGTCGGTGTTAATCGCGGCTGCATTTCGTGCTTGCAATGCGGCAGGGGATGCCGGAGTCGTTGCTAAGGCGAAGTAACCCTAGACCTCGCCGGCTTGCAGCAGCTTCGAATGTTCCCGCCAAAAAAAGGACACCGTAGCTGCGCCTTCTTGCCATTCCCGCCAAAAAAAGGACACCGTAGCTGCGTCTTCTTGCCATTCCCGGCAAAAAAAGGACACCGTAGCTGGGTCTTCTTGCCATTCCCGCCAAAAAAAGGACTTGCTACAGTCAGTTATAAGGCGGAATCATAGGGCGTTGTGAACCGTCGTCGTCTAATGCCAGAGGAGCTGGAAACGGCGGGAGTAGGGGGAGAAAAAAGGCGGGAGAGCGAGGAGGAGACAAGGGCGGAAGTAAGGTGGGAGACAAGGGCGGGAGTAAGGCGGGAGAAAGGCGGGAGTGTCAAGAATGGATGTAATCAAGGCGATTCCAGAAAATATTTGGTGGTGAAGGGATAAGTAGGAGCGGTGGGTAAGGTGGGTGTAGAGAGGTGCGGTGGAACGATCGGGAGGGGGGCGAAACTAGGCGGGGGGGGTGAAGGGGAGGGGGGGGCGGAACTAGGGGGGGGGTTTGAGGGGGGGCTGGTGCCTTTGTTGTAAGGTACGTTTCATCTGTAGCTGACGACAGTTCCCACCGATGGAGTAGAGAGTCGGAGGGTGGTGTGGGGAGGAGGGACGCGGTGGTGGGTATCGTAGTGGCAGTTCTTGGCGGCGGTGGGGGAGACGGATGGAGTAGAGAGTCGGTGTGCAATTCGCAATGATGAAGATGATGATGGTGATGATGATGATGATGATGATGATGATGATGGCCTTTTTCGAATCCTGAAGAATCGAGGCGCTAGGAGGAGGAAGAGGAAATGCGCGAGAAGTGACAGGGTTGTTGCTGAGGACCTGGAGGGTGCTTAGACCCCTGTCGGCCGGCCGCGGGTTTCCCCTCGCCTCCGAGTGTAGGAAACCGCTGACAGTGGAGCGCGATGCGATTGGCCCTTGTCAACTGTGCTGCTGATAAATCGTGGCGCGGTGCGCAGCCAATCAATCAATCAATCAATCAACGCGCGAATGTGCCGAACTCTTTCGGTCAGTGGTCAAGCCAATCAATCAGCCAATCAATCAATCAGTCAATCAATCAATCAATCAGTCAATCAATCAATCAACCAGTGGTCAAGCCGGCGATGGGGAGGGTGCTGATTCAATATACATGACGTAGAAGATCTTCGGGGAGAGAGAGAGAGAGAGAGAGACAGAGAGGGCTTCCCGACGATAGGGAGAGTAGGGAGTCTGTGATATCGACGGATTGCCTTTGAATGAAGGATGGAGAATCACGCTTCCAACATCCTCTCCGGTAGGAGTGGTGCTGCGGCGAATGCGGATTTCTATCTACCAAATTACAAACTAGGGAAGACTCTGGGCATCGGGTCCTTTGGTAAAGTGAAAGAGGCGGAACATGTGCTCACCGGGCACAAAGTGGCGATCAAAATCCTCAATCGGAGGAAGATCAGGGCCATGGACATGGATGAGAAAGGTGCGTCGTCGATTTTCTCAGATTTTCTTTTCAGATTTGTCCTCTTTACCTTTACCTTTACCTCCCAAGCCGAATGATGAGGGTTCTCTGCGCCTGTTCCTCCCTTACATGCTCTCTAGTGTTCCATGTTTCCCTCTCCATTGTCCTTTTTCCTCTGCTTCTTTTGCTCTTCTTCCTTCTCGTCGTCTGATCTCCGCATTTCTTCTCTCCTCTTTCACCTTTTGGTCCCCACTTCTTTGACCCACTGCTTTGACCACTTCTTGGTCCACTTCTTTGACCCACTGCTTTGACCACTTCTTGGTCCAGTTCTTGGTCCCGTTCTTGGTCCACTTCTTGGTCCACTTCTTGGTCCAGTTACTTCTTGGTCCAGTTCTTGGTCCACTTCTTGGACCGCTCCTTGGTCCACATGTTGGTCTGGTTCTTGGGCCACCTCTTGGTCCACCTGTTCCTTGCCTCGGCATCTTTTTCGGGGCCCTGTTTGTCTGACTTCTTAGTCTTTTTTTTTGGTGTCGGGGGACTATTTCTCGGTTTGTGCACGTCATCCTCGCGCCTGGGTCCATTGTAAACTTATCTCTGCGTCGCTCGTCCGCTATAGAACTGGAAGCGTAGAGAGGAAATTGGAAGGATGGACAGGAGGATTTGGATTTGGATTGACCCTGCGCAAGGATGACACGCACAAATCGAGAAATGGTCTTGCTCGCCTTGCTTCCTTTTCCTCTCGGTTCCCGTTCTCTCTCTCATCCTTCTTCTTCCCTCTCTTTTCCTTTCTTTCTTTTCGTCTTTCTTCTACCTATCTCCCTCGTCAATTGCCTGCTATTTCTACTCTTCCTCCTCGTGGTCTTCTGTATTCGTTTCTCTCTCTCACTCTCTCTCTCTCTCTCGCTCTCTTCCTTGCTCCATCGGGCGTCTTCTTTGCTCTATCGCCTCTCTCGCTTCCCTTGGTCCCATTTATGTTTCTTTATCCCGCTTTTCCAACTCGGAACTTCTCTTCCCTCTTTTACTCGCCACTTTCTGCTTGCCTTTCTATCTCCATCCCCTTTTGGCCGATCTTCTTATGGTTTGCTCTCCTCTTCTGTGGGTTCTTGCTCTGCTCGGTCATCGATTCCCCCCTACCTATTCCCCCCTCTCTCCCTTGTATTCCCCAGTATATCTCTTTCTATTCACCCCTATATCCCTTTCGATTCCCATCCCCTTTGGGCCGATCTTCTTATGGTTTTCTCTCCTCTTCTGTCCGTTCTTGCTCGGTCATCGATTCCCCCCTATTCCCCCTTATCTCCCTTGTATTCACCAGTATATCCCTTTCTATTCCCCCCTATATCCCTTTCTATTCCCCCCAATACCCCTTTCTATTCCCCCCCATATCCCTTTCTATTCCCCCCCATATCCCCCTCCTCTCCCCCCTATTCCCCTTGTACTCCCCCCTATTTCCCTTTCTATTCCCTCTATTGCCCCCCCTTTTTCCCTTGTATTCCCCTCTATATCCTTCCTATTCCCCTTTTATTTCCCTTCTACCCTCGCATTTCCCTCTCTATCCCCGCTATCCGCTTACTGCCCCCCTTCTTTCTCTCCGACCTCGCTTAATAACCCCGCTATCCCGCTTAATGGCAATATGTACGTCGTGTGGCGGGAGATGCGAATGGTTCAGAGAGGGGATAGTCAGGGGCATTGGGGGGACTCGCTCCACTACTCTCGGAAAACACAAGAAATCATTAAGCGAATGTATCTTTCCATGTTCTAGCGGAAGATTCACATGCCGTTTTTCACATGTCGAGAGCAGTGGAGCGAGGTCCATTACCTTCGTCCAAGAGGACGTGTATCTGGCGATCTTGCGTGGCGTCAGTGTTTTCGACGAGACGGAGGTCTTGGTCGTTTGTGATGAAGAGGCCTCAGAACGTGGACGTGAGGTCGCGCACGTACGACAGATCATTGTCTTCTCCTCCCCGGTAGCGGTATTAGCTGGCAAGTCAGGAGTGGTTTTGCTGTTGTTTTTAAAAAAGGTGACAGATCAGCGCTGCCGGCGGCCTTTACGTGCGATGTTCTGGTGTCAGTAAATGCGGCATCAACGGCGTCTGGTAGTGTAGGGCTCACGAGGACGCGACTTGTTGCGGGGGAGGTAAAGGAAATTAGTGTAGGCGCACGAGTGCTCAGCGCCCTTGTGAGAGGTTTAGATTAAATTGTGTGTGTGTGTGTGTGTGTGTGTGTGTGTGTGTGTGTTTGTGTGTGTGTTTGAGTGTGTGTGTGTGTG